ATTCAAAGTTCAGTTCAGGTTCAGGTTCAAAGATCTGCAAAATTTGTGGTTCAGGTTCAGGTTCAGTTCAGGTTCAGGTTCAGTTCAGGTTCATTGAACCTAAATTTGAACTGAACTGAACCTAGGAACCCTAATATGAAGATTGGTTCACAGTTGCACTTTTTGGAATGTGCATTGATTTCTGTATTAGGGACATCCAACTAGGCACCGATATTAAAAGGTTTTAATCATATTTGATAGTGCAGTAGTGAATATATGTTTTATTTATCACTGCTTATAGAACTGATGCTCCATCACTGAGTAGTGCTAACAGGAAGAACTGTGGTCAGAAAGCAAATACACGTACAAGAAAGCTCACTGGTCGTAAGATTAACAGGATAATATATACTGTTAACACACTTTTTGAACTTGGAGCCATCGAAGGTGCAAGATCCTATTCAGGTGCTTCAAACCAGAAGTATCTTCTCGAGACATTCAAGATACCAAAAACTCTTTGTGACATGTATGCTAATCTAATGAGGGCCATAAATTATAATGATCGGAAAGCATTTAAAATTCAAGTAATTGGCATTTTACATCTTGGATTATGGATTCAATTTGCTAGATTATAGCATACTGGTGGGTCAATTTGCATTTTTCACAAAGATTCTCTATCTCATTATGTAAATAGCAAGTTTTCAGAAATGGGAGTAAGATTCTTTCTCAAGCTTCTAGTATCAATTTATCAGTATAAGGTCAAAAAAATTTTTATTTTTGTAATTGTTCTATTTCTCTTTAGCGTTTTATTTATTGTATTTTGTTTTTACAGATTATTATAAAGAACAACTTGCAAGTTTTAAATATTCAGAACAGAATTAAGCCAGGAGATAACTTGTATAATGAATTGATGGAAGTTGGTCAAATTTCTTTATTATTACACTCTGTTTCTTTACTACTACACTTACTTAAATTTTTTTCTAATTGTTTCAAACCCCCAAGAAAACCAAAGAAAAAAAAATCTAGTAAAAAAAGAAAGTTGTAAAGTTTTAATAATACCAATAGTGGCTTTATTGATATTTTTTAAAAAATTTATTTGGTGAGCTAATTATTAAAGTAGATAGCAGGAATTAGATTATATTATATATATATATTGTATATATTTTTACAATTTATATAACAGATTAAAATAAGTATTACACAAATATAAAAAATAGACAAGCTACTAAAAGATAAAAATTTTTGAGATGCATTTTTTAGAGTTAGGGTTAGAGATTAGTTTTAGAGTAAAGTGTATAATAAAACTTCTTACAATATTTAAATAATTTTTAATAATTTATTTTTCAATTCCATAAAAAAAACAAAAACCAATATTATATTTGAAAATAAAATAGTGTTTAAAGCAGTGTTCTGAATCAAGCTGGCTAAATTAGATTTGTTGGAATTAGAAATTGGCCTAATTTTGGCTTGAAAGGCTTGTAAGCTAGTAGCATATATTATGTAATACAATTTTCACTATTAAATTTTTTTTTTTAATATTGAGGCAACCATTTAGATCCCTAGCACTTTATTAGTTTAAACAGTAGGTCATTGGTTATTACTCTGGCTTTACATATTATATCCAGTGTTGTCATATGACCTGTTATGATCTTTATAACCTTTATGATCGTCATAGGTTATAAGGTCATAAAAATATAGAATATGAATTATGATCTAGGTCATAATCCTATCCAATAGAATTGCAAATAATTAATTAAAGAAACTACGTATAACAAATTTATATAGAGACCTACTCGTTAACTTGCAAGTATTATACAAAGTTTTGTAATACTATATGTAATTCAATTTTTAATCTTATGCATACATAATATATTTAAAAAATCATAATGCTAATACTACAAGTCGGTTTAAATTAAGGATCTTTCGAATTTATTTTCATATACTTACTTGGGCTTATTACCTGTTATTTATGAGTTTTTTTTTTTTTTTTTTTTTTTTTTCTTCGTTCTATTTGTACTGCTTCTTGATAGAGGTAGTTTTCTTTGTTGGCCCTCGGGCTTTTCTCTTTGATT